TAACATAATTTCACAGTTATCGTCTATGAAATACTTCGTTAAGGGGTAAACACCAGTTAAAGGTGAAAGTGGGCCTCCCTCTCGTAAACGCGATGTACGGCGAGACGGAAGAAAATGGAAGCGCGAACAGACGAGGTCTTTTTGCCCGCGTGATAAAAATCATGATATGTGAAGCGTCTAGGATGATCTAAACTCGCACCTATGACAAAACTCAATTAACATCATCATACCAGGCAGCGTTTTCTAACTACTTTTGCAGCCATTAGACAAATAGAGGCAGCTTAACCTAAAACCTAAAACATTACAATATAATAACGATTTTTATTAATAAATAACTAAAAACTACGTAGATCACGTTTTCTTATCGCTACAAAGATTTTTTTATTTTACATAACAAAAAAAAAGCAACACATTTTATTAGCGAGAAATCTCGCTCAGTTATGGAATTCCGTTTACGACGACGAAACCGAACGTGTCATCGCGGCCAGAGTGGGTTCGCGTTCCATTTTCCACTGTCGCACGCAATTGACGAGGTGCGATAAATCCACGAAGGATGGACGATTGTCAGGGTTTGAAGGACATATATATATATATGTATATATATGTATATATATATTACTCCTCCTAGCTCATAGGATCCACCTCTCACCGGCTCGGTCGTTTAAAGAGAGACAAAAGTGTCTAACAGCGAGAATTGCTCGTCGCCGCGAAAGAGAATTTTCTATTCTACAAGTATCTCGTCTATCTCTCAACACGTGTATTATTTAACTAGCTACTGGTACTGCTCAATATCCTCGGTGGCGTCGCGTCGCAGATATACTCGGACAAACATTCGTGGCGAACGGATAGGTGTTCTGATATCCATTGATAACCAGCTAACGTGCGATATCGAGGTGTTGGTAGGTGTGGATAGCTGGCATACGATATTGTGTGTGCATTCGATATGCTGCAAAAATCGATTTAGCTATTTGTAATTTCTTTCGCATCGATTCGAGTGTGTTTTTGCGGAGCTGTAATTTTAGGAGAAAGTCGGAGGAGGTCTCATGTTTCAGGGTTTTATCTCAGGTTTCTCAAGATCGTTAATTTATCGAAATCAATTATATAAAGCCATCTCGATTTCCGGAAGCAACAATTGTGCAGTTGAATTGCCTTCCGGAGAAATGATTTTTTTCTGTAAGGTTTCTTTGGATCTAAGAATTTTCAAGACTTCGAGGTCGTTGCATAACATTTTGTACTGGCATAGCTAAATCGACTGTCGTACTTATTAAATATACGCTAACATACTCGTTGCACTTCACTCACTTCACTCGAGATTGCCACCGAGAGCGCAATTGGAACGCAGCTTGCGGAAGCATGCGCGTGTGGTATATTAGTATTGTTTTTGGCTACTTGACTAACTTTAGAAATGCATTGAGCCTTACTACGAGAAACGATGCTTATTAAATATTCATTTGATCTGTGTGAATTGTTTTAGTTACGTTAACTACCAACAAGATCTGCCGCGCGTAAAGCGTCATTTTTATACGTCGAGAATTAATACTATCTACGTAGCAGACGGCGAAGTCTGTTCCAAGAGATATCATCGCTCACTAGATCGTTGAAATCAATCTCATTGGATTCATACGTGTTACGTGTAACATCTTACGAAGAATCACTCTGTATCTCTAATCGAAAAAGGATTTCTCAAAAGAAATATAGATCGTCAAAATCTATTAAAGTTACACATTAATTATTCGCAGTATACGACGACGACAATATACACTGTTCGGGATATAACAAAAATCGCAGAGACTTAAAATTACGGAACAGACTTATATACATTGCGGAATGCTTAGGCTCGTCGAGTAACAGCGACTAGTTTACGATTGTTGAGCAAAAATCATATTGCGGTGTTTTTGGTATACAATAATTCTCGCGATTGAATGACTGTCCGAAGACCGTTATAGTTTCACAATCAACGTGGTCACGTCTCTCTTCACTCTTTCCCGTCTTAAGAGTATCAAGCGTCAAGATCGTTGGCTGGGATTCAGTTTGGAAAATTATTTCACGAAACTACACAAGACAATCTAAAATGCTTCTGGGAAATAAGTATAACTTTTTACTCAATCACATTCTTCGACACGATTGAAGAAATGATCATCACAGTTTACTTCTCCACCCGTTTCTCCACCTTATACATAGATTTACATATCACATCTCTCTGTTGGAACACACGAGGTCCTGCGACCCTTACTTCGACACCAATTTAAATGCTAAAGTCGAGATTGAATTTGGAAAAATCACCGTTTGTCCTAGCAACGAGACAAGCGCTATACATAACTTTTAACTTAATACAATTTATACGATTAACAAACGATTCTTTTTTTTCGGCGAATCAAACAATTCGTTATCTAAGATCGTTCCTATTGCGAGGCCGCCGGGCGGCGAACGTTCCTTGCACAGTTACAAGATACACCGGTGGAACACATTGCGCGAGCGGGCACGGCCGTAATCTCGATTCCGCGAATTTATTGCCGCGGAATCTTCGTTTTGATTACAATTGCGAGGACAACCGTGCGTGTATACAACATTCGACACTGCGGAACGTTCAACGGCACGGCGACAACAACGGCAACAACGTTGCGTTCGCCCTTTAGTAAAGGTAATGAGCATAGCGCTGATATTTATTCCTCGTTGGGTACAGACGCTCTCCTTCACGAGTCGAGGCAAGCATAGAAATGAAAACGTCATTGATTAGCTTTTTCTCTCTCGTTCTCTCCCTCTCCGCCTTTCTCACATAAGTTTCTTACGCGTGGCGCGTTGCAAACGGCTCGATAAGGACACAGCATCATGCACTTGGATTCCTTACTAAAGCATAGACGCAATCAATCACAGCCAAATCGCTAGAGACAGTCGCGCGCGTGTCTTCTCTCGTTCGCGCGCGAGCCTTCGCGATTTTCGGCACGAATTATCTCAACGGAGAACTAATCGCCAAATCAATTTGCAACCCGAAAAACTCAACATACCAATTTCGGGAAAGGAAAACCGGCAATCAAATTCCATCATTCTACGATTAACAGCCACAACAAATATAATCAAACACATTGACAGAACTCGTAAATCGCCTAACTCGCTCCGGATTCGCTCGAAATGAAATAGGACTGGAATAGAATTGCGAATGGAAGACAGAACGTACACTCGATGTTTTGTGAAAACAAAATGTATGTATTTTGAATACAGGAAATAATATATATAACAGAATGTCGTACACAGAAAAACAACGCCTTAGTCTCGCGCTAAAGCACAAACAGCCATACGGAACATGATATTTAATGTCGGCGGACGCGAAGCTACTGTGCGCTCGATAACATCGTACATGGGCAACGGTAGTACTTTACAACAAAGTATCAAGCGAAAAAACGAACAATAGTAGCAGAGCTAGAAAAAAATAAGTAACAGAAGATAGCGAATCGGTCCAGCTAGCCAGCATCCAAAACTCAAAGTTTCTATAAACGGCATTTTCGTTTCTTTTATTTATTTATTTATTTTTTTTTTTCGTGCGGCCAACGGGTTGTGTTTCCCGGGTGAGGTGTTTATATTACCGCAAACGACGCCGCATCACTGACTAACGTGACGTGTACATAATAGTACTTCGTGTACTTCGTCATCAAGATTTCACACGCAAGACTCTTCTATCACAACATTGCACATTCTTCCTTGCACGATCGCATGTACAGTGAGCCCTTTAACACTAGAACGGCCGGCCGTAGCTTTGGTTTCACGAAAAATATTCCATTACGTTTTCAATCTTGTAATTGAAAAAAAAAATTAAATAAATAACCTTTGTACAAATTGACGTTACAACGAAGAAAGCCAAAAAAAAAATGCGATGTTCTGTTCACTTATCTTATGCACAAGACGAAGCGAGATGAACAAAAAAAAAAGAAACACACTCACTGACATGAAAATGCGCAAGCGACCGTTTTAGTGTTAAGCGGCTCTTCTTTTCTTTTTCTTTTTTTAATTTTACGGGGACCGCTCGAGCAGAGCGGAGTCTCTTCTTTCACATCGAGTCATGCGTAGAACTTCGAGAAAGTTGAAAGAAAAGAGGAAAACGGACATAAGAGTAAAGAAACGCGAGAAACGTGTCTCTCCAGTCATCCACTCGCAGAGATTTCTCTCCACGTTTTAACGTGGTCGTGTGTGTAACGTGTCAGAATATAAACACCCTTTCGGTTCTCTGTATGTGTGTGTGTGTGTGCGCGCACAAAAGGTGCTTAGTGCATTAACTCGTGGTGGTTTGATTTAGATGCAGCCATCTTATCTGACAAAACATTTCAGCGTTAGACAAAAGAAAAAAAAAAGAAAAAAAAGAAAAATACGATGTGTATGAATAGCAACTTATGCTAAACGTCAAACGGTATTCATCTACCTATGCACGATAAAAATAAAAGATTTTTATCGAGCTGAAAAAATGCTAAACGTGAGACGTGAAAAACTTTCAAAAAACGCGGAGGTACAACGGTAAGTAAACGTGTCGCGGCAAGAAGCATATTGCAATCGTACAAAAATCATCTACACTACCAAATCTGAGGAGATATCGAGGAAAATCGAATACGCAGATCAGAAGAATCGAATAATAATCGATCGAAAGATACATATCAGGCAAATAGCGTTAAAAGTACAACAATTTTTCGATCAAGCTAAATAATTGTAATAAACATCGAGTTTCAATAGTGCTCTCCTATGTAAACTAGACATATTGCAATAATAATCGTAATAGAAATGCAAATTGTTTCAACTATACTTTAGCATAGGACTGCTAGAAGCCAAAATGCAAGCATCGCCTGGCAGCAATAATCCCAGCTCTTTCCCCGCTTCGGTGGAAAATTTTGAATTCCAACGGGAAGAACGACGCGCGCGAGAGAAACGCGCCTTTTAAACTTATCGATTACCACTGCCAGGCCGCGAAGTAAAGTCTATTAATGCGATGGTCTTTCAAGATGTAAGAGATTACTTACCGCGACTCTGATTGTATCCGGCTTGCCAACCCGCGTAATACGCTGCTTTTTGTTTCCCGTGTTCCTCCGCGATTTTTACGCTAAGCGGTTCGGATCCACCCTCGGGTATTGTACCATGAAGTTGCGTGATAGCTTCCTGAGCTTCCTCCCTTTTATCAAATCTGCGGAGTCGAAAAAAAAATTAAGAAATAATCTCGCGTGTCATCAAAAAAATCTCGCGTGGTTTCTGGTGTAAAAAAATTTTTAAGTTGTAATGTTTAACTATTACTTTTATAAGCTAATAATTCTCAATTTTTCAGAGATAATAATTTAAAAAATATAATGTTACGTAAAAAGCTCTTCAGATCGTAAAAAAACATCACAGAAGCGTTAATCTGTATTAGTTTTTTTGTTTGTTTTTTTTCGCCTTTCTGGGCTCGATAAAATCGTAACAGCATATTTGAAGGCATTTTACCGAGGCTCAGCTGTTGGCATAGATCAGAACAGTTATTTCGAATAACCCATTTCCCACAATCTGGTATCCCTAGCTTATTCACATGCAGCTTATCTGGGCCAGACTAAAGGGAGCGTATCAGAATTATGCAATTGAAACCAGGAGAGCTGCGCAAAAATACTTTGGCAGGAAACTATTGCAAAATAAATACGCACGCACGGATATATGCCGCGTTGTGCAACGATATAGCACGATTGTCGCAGATGTCTTGAATATGTTCCAATTTTCGAATTATCGCGCAATTATTTATACTTGACGAAAGCCGCGTGTAAATTAATATTCATTAAACCGACGTGTCTTCATGTTTTTATGCAGATAAATGTAATGGATGTGCGTGTATGATTATATAAAACAAGTTTCTATCTTCTTAACATTTAAGAAGTGGAAAAATCGATATTAATGAAGGAAAACAAATTGTCGACTCACCTCACAAATGCTACGCCTCTCGGTAAACCGGTTAGTTTATCCTTCAGTATATTTTTTTGCACAATATTTCCAAATTTGCTGAAAATCTCATCGATCTGACTCTCCGTTATGTTTCTGTCCAGAAAAAAATTGTGTCCTTCAGTACTAATGTACATTAATTTTCAGTACAATTGCACATTAATTTTCAGTACAATTGCACAGTAAATTGCATATAATTGCGAAGGAAGCAATATCACCTAGGTAAATTTGTAACATAAAGATTGGTTTCTTTAATTTCCTCCCCAGAAGGCCGGGCAAACGACACTTTCAGACGTTTATTTTGCACTTGAAGCCCGTTCAACGTGCTTATCGCCGTCGCAGCGTCCTCAGCTTTCGCGTAGTTCACAAAGCCAAAGCCGTAACTGTAACCAGTCTGTACAAATGTCAAATTAGCAGCGTATACGTGCCATATGAAAGAGATGTGACATGTGTATATAAGTTATACAAATTACCTTGTAATCCTTCATGACTCGGCAGGACTCGACCGGACCAATGGTCACAAACAGACTGTATAGCTCTTTCTCGTTCATGTTTTGAGGAAGATAATTGATAATTAGATTCGTTTTTGGCTCCTCATTGCCTTTGGTCTGCGGCGGCTGTTGAGGCGGTTGCTGCTGCTGCTGAGTTTGGGATTGCGGTTGTTGTTGTTGCTGTTCTCGCTGGTCAGTCATTTTGCGGCACTGCTGCTGTTGCTGTTGCGGGTCACCTGCCGACGATGATGGTGTCTGACGATTTGATGAGACGATCCGATTCTGTTGCTGTTGACGTTGTTGCTGTTGCGCGAACGAGTCCGCCACCAGCAGCTGAGCTTGCGGTTGCTGTTGTATACTCCAACTGGTACCGTCCAGCGAAACAACCATCGAAGGGGTCATCGGCAAATACAAAAAATATAAACAAATTCATTACTACGTCTTCCCCGTACGACAACGTAGCCGCCAAGCTCGTAGGCCAGCCTGCGCTTTCGAATGCTCTCATCATCTCTGTCTTTCTCTCTCTAAGCAGTCTCAAAATAAATAGAAAATAAATGTGCAATATATGTATTGATGCCAGACCTGTGTGTGAGAAACAAACAAACAAAGGCAAGTAAGGACAAAACAGAACTAGAGAGCGGGCGAAAATCAAAAACAGACAAAAATGGGCGCAATTAAATAACGTATACTGCAAAAATTCTCTACTACAATCGCAAATTAAATTTCGCAAATTTATAGAATTGGCAAATGGTAAAAACGTCGTGTCGGAAACCTCAAGGGATTAATGTGCCCCAATTTAATCATTCGCATAACGATGTACTTCGACATCAAACACTTGATCGTCCAATTTTCCATATTTCACGCATATTAAAAATGTTTCATACTGAACACATCTTGATTATTCTAATGAGAGAGAAATTCAATATTTAATTTTTCGCGTACATTTAGAAAAGCCGTTTCGTCGAATGCATCGGCGAGGCTTGCGAAGGGTGGAGTTCGGTTAACATTCGTGACGTTTCGAGAGCACACCGTGTTGTGAACACTCGACCGCCGTGCAATGACACTGAGCGTTATGCGATATCGAATTTCATTGAGCGCTGTCGTGTGAATTCATACGTCGATGTCGCGTCGTGTCGACGCGAGGAACGGCGTTGCGCGCCCGTTCATTCACTCGCGAAACTGAAACGCGCGAGCGAGCGGGGGGAAAAAATTTTTTCCGCGTACTCGCCGATGTTTACAAAGCGCAAACTCTCGAATATGATAGTCGTCGCCGTGTCGCGTTTGAACGACGCCGCGAGCAACGTCCGTCTTTCGTTGTCGTCGTCAACAAAAGCGGAGAGAGAGAGAGAGAGAACAATAAAAACAAAATAAGCGGACGAACAGAAGGGGAACGGCAGATATGGGGTGGAATTTTCGAAGTTCGCGAGGAACGTAACCTTTTGGCCTTATTTTGAGGAGGCCCGGGAAAGCGCGCGAGTGGCCCGGTAGATTCTTGAATCGACCAAGCTGTCAGAGTGTGGAGGGAGAGCGGCGTAAAGAGCGAGAGAGAGAGAGAGAGAGAGAGAAGAAAGAGAGAGAGAGAGACAGATATATAGCGTACGGTGGGAGGAAGCAAGAAAGAGCGCGCTGAATAGAGGAAGTAGGACGCAGAGCGATGTAGAGGAGAGGAGGGGCTGCGTATGCGTGTATATGTGTATATATGTACCTTTTGCTTCGAATACGCACCAGAGAATACAGAGTAGGCAGACTGGAGTCGACGAGCGCACGCGGCGTAAACGAAACCACGGTCCGTGGAACGCACTCGCTCTCTCCCGCGCGTCGCGTCACGCGCTGCTAATGCACACAACCGACGACGGGTAATTATGTAAGCGCGTGTACTGTCAGCATTCGCATCCCGTCCGCCGCGCGTTACCAGCGAACACCCACGGTAATCGCTGCGCCGCGTCGCGCCGCGCGGATTCGTTGCGAGTACGAGAACTCTCCTCAGACACCGGGGTCCCTCTCCTTTCTCTCTCCCTCGTAACTCGTTCGATTCGGCGGAACTGTGCGACTTCCTCGACGAACGCGGCAGTGCGCGGGAAGGATGGACGGAGGGAAGAGAGAAAGGGAGGGAAAGAGAAGTTGTGCGGCGATGCGACGCGTGCGGGAGCGACAGCGACAGTGCACGAGAGAAGGAAAGAGGGAGGATGCAGCCAGCACACCGTACAACCAACACGCTGCACGCAAACACACTGACTGAGCCCCAGCCCTGACCTGCCTCGCGCGGCACCCTCTCGCGGCACTCTGCCCCACTACCTCAACACGAAACCGGATTCTGCGGTGGCCGTCGCCGCAGCTGCTGTGCCGCGTGCGCGACGCGGTGTAGCGCGAGGTCCCGCCTAAATCCTACCGCGCTCACGCGTTCAGGACGGAGAGAGCGAGCTCATCTTCTGCCAACTCTTTCTGTTTTTCACCGGCCGTTTGAGAAACGCCTGCACGCTGCATTGTGTTAAACGAAGGAACGCCTGATGTTGCGGAAAGTACGAGCGATCGATTAAGCGAGAGGCATCGATTACTTTGAACCGCGCGTCCAAGTTTCATGACAGGCGAGCTTGCTTTATCCCCGCCTGTGTTAGATCATATGACGGCACGACTTCTAGATTAGTTCCTTAACAGATTAGAATTTTTGCACATTTATGCGAAATATACACATTTAGATCTTCCGCTTTTTCATAATATTAACATAATACACTTTTTAACCTTTGTATCTGAATATTTATGCACAGATACATGAATCTGTGCATATCAATGCGTTTTCTGATTTTCTAATAACGTATCCCCCAAATCATTTTTAAGAGGGAAATAATTTTAGTTAGAAAATAAAATTGCTACACTTCAATGAGGAAATATAATCGAGAGTATCCCGATGTTGAAAATTCTGGCGCGTGTTTTCCCGATTTCTGAATCGTCTGCCAATTTATTATTACGTCCCCGGACAATTCACAAATTGGGTCGACCTTTAAACATGTATATCATCGCTGGAACGGTTCGTTCCGCGTGCATTAGTTTTACGAGGACACTATCAATATTTCTTCAACAAAATATGACCTATTTTTCTGCAAGAAAATTGCAAAACACGCGACACTGTGAAGTTTCTCGTGTACCATCGCATGTGTTCATGCAAGTTCTCGGACAAAAAGGATCGATCGCTGTATAAATAGCGAAATTAAAGGTGGTAAAACATGGAAACACGATGTATGGATTGCAAGTAGATATAAATCGAGATAAAACCTTTAATCGCTCGCACGTGCCTCACTCGGGCGTTTCATACAAAATCTGAGCCAAGAACACAGTCTGCGTATCCTTGTCATATGTCGGGAAATAAACGATTGTCAGAAATAAGTGTGCTATTTTGCTTTAAAATGCGTGAGATTATTACGAAACATCTTTCAGCAAATTCGGTTTTTCATAAGCTATAAATTGCACGTAATAAACAAAACTGAAGTGGAACTATTATAATTTTGAATATAATATTAATCTAGAATTTTTCTTTTCAAACTCAATGTTTCTATTTAAGTTAAAAATTGGTTTTAAAAATTGCAACATTATATAATGGCTTTTAATACATTTAGTTGTTTATTTTCCTTTTCAAATATTACTGAATTCGTTTCACTTCAATTTTGCATTAAATATCGTATAAAAAGGAAGTCTCTCACGAAGAGATTAAACTTCTAAAGTTTAACTCCTTTTATATTGTAATTTTATAAATAAAAATTTTTTACATTTACCTCGCTGTTCAATTTTGCTCTAAATTGTCTTCCCCGCTTTAAAAAAAAAAACTATTGAAAATGTGTACCTCAAAGCAGCCTCCCAGGAAGGGATAGCGAACATCGCAAGTTCGTCCGTAACGTCGATCGTATGGTGAGGTCTCGGCGGTGAAAGAAATGCGAGGAAAATGTGCGACTTTCGTCACGAACAGATCACACGAAGGCGAAACGGAAGGCCGTTTTCCGTGTCTCACATACGCGATAGTCGTTTCTTGCGTCTTGCGTATTTTGTTTCAAGCCACAAGGTCGTTTTACACGCTCGCGTTTTAACAGGTCTGCTATCAGCCGCCTCTATCGACAACGATGTTCAAGCGAGTGACTTTATCGCGGCGAATAAATCGCGTAATCCATTCATCGATGCGTCGCCGTGTCATTTCTGATATCAAAAAACATATATTTTTCATGGCTTGCCGTAAAAAATAAAGAGTATTTTCTATATCTCTCGCATAACATTTTCTACAAAATAAAACAAAGCTAGGTTAGTAGTTATTCAAAATTACGATTACTCATTTTTTTTAACAGTGCGGAGTCACGCAACTTAACATACCATTATCTTCTTCATGATTAAGCAATTTCTGAATTGCACTTTGTGTAATTTAACCTTTTCTTTTTTCATAATACATAATATATAATTATCATACTATGTAATTATGCATGGCACACTTGTTCGCGGAATTATTTTTGCCAGTTGGCAATGCATTCGCCCAGGATTAAAGAAACGCATTAGAAGACACTGCATTGCGCTGCATTGCGCATCCTGCTATCAATGTTGCCATTCTCGCGCCCCTCCAAAACTAGAACACGCCCTAATCTCCGATGAAAACAATGACCTAATGATATATATAAAAAAAATAATCGCCTAGCAATCATGCATTTTTATAATCAATGTTCCGCAAAACTCTCTAAGCGGCTAACAGAAATTTTTGGAGTTCAAATAGAATAATTCTACGATACATGCTTTTACATGGAATTATTACTGCGACAAAATTCTTGCAATTATCTTTATCTTGTTATTCATTCCGTTTTGTGTGTCGGCAGCTTCATGACGCGGAATACCACATAATCAGAAAATGTAAATGACTACAGCAAGACCACTCGCGTCTTAACAACACGTTCTGCTCATACAATGATTCACGTAGGCGATAAAATTGCGCTCGCGACTGATTGCGGAACAAAAGATTAGATTCTGACATTTCGCCAGTTTTACACGCGGCTGTTCAAACTCCCGGCTCGAAATAATACTATATATATGTGTAGCCATCGCGCGTGGGGACAGAAACCCGGAACTGGACGGCTGTATATAGCGTTAATGGTCGGGTATGAAAATAAAGCAAAATAAACAACCCAATATAAAGAGCTGACTCTGTGTGACGCCAATGTATTGTTTGTAGTAGACACATCTTTTATGCGGTCATTGGCGCGGCACGTGTCACAATGCTATAAATCAATTTCATATTTGAATGCATAATTTACGTAAAATAAATATGTAAAAATTATAATTTCTCTCTCTCTCTCTCTCTCTCTTTCATTTTCTCTGCGTGGCGATCGCAATTGTACATTAATCTAGAGATATGATACGAGAGACAGGTGTTACAACTTTGCGATTAAAAAATATTTTAAACATATACTTCGTAACATTAATGCCAATATAAGAAAAAGTGAATTAACGCGGAGATACTAACATGATACAAAAATAAGTTAATATAACCCTATATATAGGCTGTGTTTCGAAATCCACTCTGAAATTCACCAGACCTGGAAATCTATAGTTTACGTCACGTATATTGTATACTGGCAGTTAATTTTGAAACGCAGCGATAATGTGGAAAAATATGATACTAATGTAAAAAGAAGCGCGAAAATAAGCGCGTCATTGCTCTGAAGCAAATTATGCAGGATGTAAAAGAAATGTAATTCGCTCTCGCGATTCAACTTACCGCCCTTGAAAGTTCACGTACTGCTCCGTATTTCAAATCCGGGTGCATTTAAGCGTTTTAGGCTGTTGTAATACATAATAATAATAATATCGTCGACAGTTGCCGAAAGCGATACCGGGTTCTTCACGTCGCTTCTCAACCGCCACTGCAGCACAATGATTTCCAACGATTGCAAGCGTTCGACACAGACAATACTTATATACACTCACACTTATAGCGCGCGTTCACCAACTCGAGACTACGAAGAATTTTGTTGCAACGAAATATGATAATTATGTAGCTGGTTGATGCTAATCGAGGTAAACTGAATATTTCAGTTCAAAATTTGCTATAATTGCAAATATATAATGTATATTCAATGGTTACACCGTTGCGCGATTCTAACCTGAAAATCGCGACCAGAATCAAAATTGCGCAAAGATGCGGTGAATCAAACGCGATTAATTAGATTATTTTTCGCTGTTTTATAAAACACTTGAACAAAGTTTAGTTGACCGAGAGTAGACATAGATTTCGACGCGAACAATATTCCGCACTCGCGATTTCTCGTATTCTCGTGATTGTCGAGTGATACACCGATACCGCGTAACGGATCGCCGAAATGCAGCTAACGCTCGTTCTGTTCTACACGTTACGCATCGTAATCGGTCGCCATCATGTCATAAAGGTTGGGATAATTCAGGGGCTATCTAACGATAAAAGAACCCGGATTGTTTAATAAATGTTTTACACAACTGATATAAATTTTCAATAAAAATTTTATTTTGCGCCTGTAAATTAGGATTAGATATGTGGTAGCTTGCAAGCAGGGCTGTCGAGGCCATATAGCTGCCTTATCTTCATTAGAATACAATCTTTTTTGAAAAATTATATACAAATTAGTGTATATATATTAATAACATTTGAACCAAAAATATTTTACAATCTCGTCAGAAAAGATAAAAATAAATAAATGAAATATAAGATAGCCGAAACATCTAACATTAATCAAATTGTACGTCATTTTGTACCAAAAAAGGGGCTACATTCACAAATCTATCCGTTCCAACGAGTTACAACATAAATTGCCAAGTATTCTTAGCTTATGTGATATATTAAATTTTAAATACTTTTTCGTGTATTATAAATAATTGTTCAAGAATTTGTTCTTTGTACACCGAACAGAAAAGAACAATCTTTAAATCAATATCTTTTTGATACTTTATGTGAACAATTTTGTGATTCTCATTTTGATTTCCGACATCTCAATGTACGGTAAATACAAGCATTAACCCTGCCATATCTCACGTATATTATTGCGCGTATGTAGATATAAATACGTATAAAAAAGAGAAATAGTTTACGATATAAGTATGCAAAGGAAGCGATGGAATGAATATCATGGTAGGTACGCTAGCATACCTATAAAATGCTACTTGTATAAAAAATCATTTCAACCTCGCTAGGTCGTTCACAGCAAGTCCCTCACGATTCAACGTAAAATAAATTATATTCGATATAAATGTCGTTGCACAAGGCACGCAATCCTGACTGCGTTTACTAGGAAGTAAAGAGAGATCGACATGGAATATAATTTTTAGAATCCCTTTGGAGACACCTTCTCTTTTATCTCAGCATGGAGAATCCTTTCACCCTTGTGAAGCGAAACGGTCTGCAGTGTATATAACGTGTGCTGCATTCCGGTGATGAGGCGCGTACCGGCGTACTGGCGTCGTTTTCCTTATCCCTATTCCAGGCGTGCCTTGGAGACTCGATGCCAAAAGGACTGTACAGTTTTGTCGGTGTGCGACCTAACAGCTGGCGGGATCGTGTTTGAGGTGTCTGCATGTTGCAAGGTGATTGCTGCTCCTCAAGTCTCTGACGTCTGCGCGTAGAATTTTTGAATTTCTATTCAAAAGAAAGGATTTTCATGTTTAAATGTCAATATTGCTCGATTTCATTATTATTAGAGTTTCTACATTTATCATTAACATTTATATGATATTTCTGACATATCTTTGATTTATATATTTACAGACATGCCTTTGCTTACAGCAAAAGTAAGGAAAATTTCTAAATAAATAATCAATTAAGGGTTCTCCCTGTTGATTTGTGATAAAATTGTCAAGTCTCTTTGATCTTAATCGAATCGTAACACAGACTAAAAAAATAGAATAGATTTTTTTAAGCTTATAAAGGTTCATTTAAATTTGCATAATTTTTACCTGAGATATTGTGCCGAAGGTGGTGCGCACAGAGGATATCGTCCTGGACAGTTTCTCGGCGCCGCTACGCAGTGCTCGTCTTGAATCCGCCGATACGTTGCCGAGGCTGATGTTGTTCCAAGCTCGGTCAGTGGACTCCTTGATCTTCGGAGGTTTCTCCTTCGCGCCGGTCGACGATCCTCGTTCTTTGTCAAATCGATCCTGCAGACGCTGGCGCAGATTACGCGAACTTCGCACCATCTCCGGCGAATTTCGCACGGCCAGCACCTCCCGGTGGAAGGTGAACGACACGCTGCGCGAGTCCGGTCGCATCTTTGTCACGATTTCGTCCGGCGTCTTGCTGTCTAACTCGCGATCCTGGAGCCTCCTCCGAGACAGATCGAACAACAATGTCACGCGATTACGGCCGTTGGCCAACCGTTCCCCAGTCCTTCGACCGTGATACCCAGAGTGACAGCTAGAGGGCAATCTCCCATAGCATTTCTATGGGATTCCGCGCCGTAAGGAGCAACCTGATTGGTGTATTTGACGCGCGCGACTATAGAAATGTCCACCGGAAAAATTTTCATTTGAAGTGGATGATAGACATCGAAGAAACGCTGTTAATTCTGGAATTATTGCTGCGTTAATTACACGGAGTAATTTCAATGGAAATTTCACAACGGTAAGTTTGTAATTTTAGAAAGCCTTGATGGTTTAATTTTTCTGAAGTTACATTTCTTTGGTCCAACATTCAGTTTAACCTTTAAAAACTGATAAGCGATTTTGCAATTGCAGTTTTTGTGTCAGCTTTCTTCTAAAAAATCACTTTTGCACATATTTAAGAGCTCTAAATCAAAAGTAGGAAAATCATTAGAAACTCATTTGGTTTCTAAAGATTAAAGTTGATTATAACAGCATTATTTGCATTTCTAAAGTATTATTCATACATTTGCATTTGTCACTGTAAAGTTTTCACATGTATTTTTTTAACAAAGATTATTTACAAAAAATATTCTAAAGGAAGAATTACAAATTTTCGTAACATTAGTGCTACCAAAGTGAATACCGTGGGGGAATAATATTGTGCATTCGTCACTGGATGTATATCACGTGACTTTGGGGACCGCCAAGCGGGGGAGGGTGGCAGCGTTGCCATTTGCCATCAGTTAGCCCGCGGTTCGCGGTCCGTGCGCGTACTGACAACGTTGCTTGGTACGACAGATTGTCGTCGTCGCGGCGCAGTGTGCGCGACACTCGTGTGGTCAAACACACCCAATGTTTGTGTTTTCGCGTTTCTCGTGATAAATAAATTGCGGCCGTCACGCGAGTAGTGTAACACGCGCACGTCACCGGGCGCGCCGCTAGGGCATGTAGTTATTGCCGGTCCACGTTGTCGGTGTCGGCTCGACGATTCTCGAGATGTGGACAACGACGAAGACCACTAAGTACGGCGTTGGTAAGTCTTATCTCTATACGCGAGGCAGCCTTGCTCTTCTATCCCTCCTCCGCTTTTGTTCCGGTCGCTCTCTTCAGAGCTGTCAAATTCACGGCGCGTCGAAGAGCGCGCGCGGAGTCGCGATAATCGCGAGATCGCTCGATGGCAGTATGACAGTTTATGCATACGATCTCGCGATTTCGCGTCCGTAAGCATCTTCGCTCGCGGCTGATCATTTCGGGAAAGAGAGGGAGAGAAACATCCACGAAATTCTGACGACGGGCGCGCTCGCTCTCGCTCGCCGGCTTGCGGTACATATTTTTCTGTATGCGTGCACTCTCACCATTGCGCGCGTGTTGGTGGCCCTGCGTGGCTCCATTCATGCATTGATCGTGCGCGCGAGTAATACTTGATAAGCCGAGCCGGCTCCAGGCCCCGGATTTCGACGCGCGACGATGCTTTCAGCATCCTTACTTTCGATAGAGCAGCGTGAGACGGGCGAAGACGATGTAGGTATTTACAATAATGCCATTTGGGAAAGCATGTAGGACATCGATGCGTGAGAATCGCTTATGATAACACTTCGCATGTCGTCGTTAAGTTTAATCTTGTACGCATTGGCACTTTGTTGAATTAGGTATTAGAATTGAGATAATTTCTTCCTTATGTATTACAGATAATAGAAAAGCGTGTGATTCATATCAATTATTATGTTTTTATTATCATGAGTGAAGCTAGAGTGTAGAGCGTAGGAAAACACACACACACACACACACACACACATAAAGAGAAAAATAAAAATTGAATATCCCAATATTTTAGAACGTCCAAAGTTATATTGGGTTGTGTAATAAGTAATTTTAGGATTTCCAATAGAAAACCTATTGAAAATTTCAAAATTACTTGTTACACAATCCAATAAAAATGAAATTGTCGGAAGTCGATTGATATTCATTTTTTAACAATGCAATAGAAGAACTGGAAATAAAGTTTCCGTTAAAAAATTTTAAAGTAAATAATCTGTCTAATGTAAAGTAAATCTCTATAAATAACATAAATTACGAAACCATTAAAAATATCAGAAAATATTCTTGATAAGAAAAATAAATAAAGTTGTATTTCTTGGAAAAAAAGTTGCAGATTATTTTCTACGTTTCGCGAAATTTACAAAATAATAACGCGCTGCGATATGAAACGGAATTTGATCGCTGGAATGCTACGTGCGAGGACGATTAGTCGTATTAAGTGGTTGCGCGTCTGCTCGAAGTTCTCTGACGCTGCGAAAAGTGCGCGAAGGCGAAGAAAGAGACTTCGACTTCACAGTCGAAATCAATTTACAGCGCGGCACGGCGATTTGACGCATTTTTTCGCGATTAATTAACGCTCGCGTTAATCCTCCGCGCTCGTCCGAGGTCGTTAGCGTTTAGTTAGGTCGTCTCAATCTTCTCGAAGCAGTGCAAGCGACTCTAATCCGATAAATAGCGTCTTTAATCGCAGATGAAGAGGCGAATCATCGATCCCTTAGTCTTCCGTTTTAATCGATCTCATCGTTGTTTCTTCAAGAAGCCATTTATCTGAAGAAGATGATAATTTCTAGACATAACTTTAACGGGATAAATATTTAGGAGAATAATTATATTTGGGAAAATGATTTAATATGCGTAACATTATCTCGATTTACTTAATTTAAAAATTCAGTGAACTTGTAATTTACTTCAATAAAATAGTTTAAAAATACTTGAAAAAAATAGTTGCGTAATTTACAAGAGCTTCCGTGATTTTTCTCGATATAAACTCGCGCAGACTGTGTATGTCAGCGACGCGATTAAAGCACAATCTTCCAATCTATCAATGTACAGCACTATTCACGCGGTCATGCCCCTATACATTATTTCTTTTTAGCGACCGTTGTAGATGTAGAATTGTGACCGCACTGTTTCTCTTTCTCCCTTTCGTCCTCTGTCTCTCTTGTGTGTGTGTGTGTGTGTGACAAGTCTGCAGATGCGTTATTGCTACCATTACCGAGACCCTCGTGTACTAAACCGCAAACGGCGAAGGCAGGTCCGTTTTACCTCGAAAACATCGGAAAAACCTCACTATCCATTTTTTACGATAACCTGCGGGCTAGCATTTCCAATACCAGTAGTTCTTAGCGAAGTTAAAGTTCTAGTATTAAATTTTATAATGGAGTGATATCCATCTCGTTGCAGTCCATTTTGGGATTGTTTCGACCTTTCAAAAATTTAATAAATATTGGATTGAATCGGTAAATAATTTTCTTTGGCAAATGTTAATGTAAGAAACGGAATTATTCGCGGCTCAATCCGATGTCTATGATTGTTGGCGAAGATGTAAAATATTATCTGGTATTATACAGAGAAAAATCGTGACAAATCTTATTGAAAAATAATTTTGTATTAATATTCATCCTCTGATGTTCTTTCACATGACAATTATGTCAATAAATATCGCATGTACTCGCGAGACGTTACAACGCAACCGTTGCCACTTTTGAAACTATTCAATCGCATAAATGTTAATATTAGTATCGGTTATCTCTCGCAATGAATGACGTTATCGGTGCATTTCCTGCCGACTCGCCTTCGCCGTTTGTTAACCGCATTTTACGCGCGCAAAAAGCTCCTTGTAATTCAAGCAGTTCACTACGGTAGATGTAGCACTGGCTTTTGACATTTTACGATCGCGCAGTAAAGCGGCATTTCCGTTGCGAAAAATGTGCAACGTTTGCCTCTCGTTCGCGTCCAACGAAAATAGTTGCTGCAACATTTTTTTAAACGCAAGAATTTTATTGCACTCTTCCTCGTTGACTTGCGACTATATTTAAAATTTATTTACACTATCTCGCACTAGAATTTTTTCATTTTTACACATTTATTATAATGCAGTATATAATTTTAATGTACTTGATATATGTATTTATGAATTTTTAAATCGTACTCTACGAATATTAGCTTCGAAAAATTTTTCTCGAGAGAGAGATACATATAAAAAAAGGAAGTCCTGTCACGAGGGTCCAGGAGGCATTATGATTTCAGATGTCATTGTTTATGTCTTCATTTCGCGACCCTTTCGAAACGGCGTACCCTTATCCAGTACCGACATTATTGATGTCCAACACCGGCTTCGCACCATGTGATTCTACCACGTGTGTGCGTGTATTAGTGGGAGAGAACTAATGGTTCCCTTGTGCGAACCCATCTTCTCTTACAGTATTATTTATTACCTTGCTCTATTATACATATATAATTTCATTTCCGACAAAGAACGGAATATTCTCCCACACAAAAATAATATTCTCCTCCTAGAATATTTTAAATCTAGATAAACATCGCAAATCCTCAATTACATTGCGATTCAATAGCGTTAAAAATATATTATGTATATTTAGTATATTTTTTTGTATAATGCTCGTCACTTTTTGTTTCTCATTTCTTCATATTCTCATCGCTCAAAATCAACATATAAATTTTATATTTTTGTGTGTTACTTATACGGGAGACATTTTAATGCTTTGAGAGAAAGAGAATATAGGGTCGCAGAAAGAGCGGAAAATTCGGGAAAAGGAACGGTAGAACAGCCGCCAGACCTATGCCTGTGGTCCCCCTACGGTCGCAAATGTTTCGTACGGCCGAGAAAGGGAGTTATCGATTTAATTCCCCGGGAAAAGCTATGGGGGAAAGCCGCGCGACACGAACACTTCGCGATCCGTCCTTTGTTCGTTGCCGCGACGAGAGCAGAATTTTGTCAGAGCGTGATTTTGGAATATTCAGATAATTTTATAATTTACTGCTATAACGCTGTAACTAATATAAAAACCTGTGATCTCTATTTTTCCAAATTCTTTTGCTCGCCATATGCTCGTATTATATTTATTTTTACGTTCTTATATTTCATTTTTATTTTCTTACTTTTTATTTCTCTCCTATCTTACATTTTATTCTTACATCTTATTTTATTATATATATATATATTTCTTACTTGAGAAAAATTGATTCTTAAATATACATTGTATTTTGATGACACGTTAAGTCTCTGTACTGAAACTGTACTGAAACATAAATTAATGTTACGAATTTTCAAGTCGTTTAAATGCAAAATTTAAATGTTCGAGGAAGAAAGCTGTTCGGCACAGTAGCCTGTTATGCGGGGAAATTTTCTATTAAGGCCAGGACAGACTGTGCGGAATAGTCTGTCTGCCATCCGGTGACGCAAAACATTCCGCGTATAAGTGACATTCTATTGATCGCGCTATCTCTCTTGTGGCAAACACGTGCCAGCGCATATTGTCGCGATTCTTTGCCGACAGATCACAGCAAAATACCTCATTGTTATTGTCAGACGAAAAAAAGAACTCGCCGCCTACCGTTACCGTTTCGTTCAGCAATGGTTTCGTGCCATTGATTCACAGCGACAATTCTTCTATTATCGCGATTTCACAAATAACAAGTATACAAATCTACAGAACATTCTATCGTATTATTTTCGCTTGTTTTTATTCAATTTCTTAATTGGCAATCAAATAATTATCATATAAAAATAATGCGGAATAACGCAGCAATAAGTTAAAAAGAAGTTTTTCTTTTTTTATCGTATTTCTCAATTCTAACGTACGTTCTTTACATCTCTTTCATTGCGATGTAATTAAAGTTTAATCACGCGTGATTTAATTTGGCATCTACATTGACTCCAAATTTAGCTGTTCTCTTAACATGTATTGAATTCATAAAATTATTGATCAGCTTATATTACTTCCGACCTTAAACGAGCTTCGCGAGATTAAAATTTAATTCAGGTTCTCATTGGCTTTATGCTGCTGCTGCTGCTGCTGCTTGCAAATCGCATTACGCTGTATCCCGCGGACGTTCGCGCTTATTATTCCGCCGTGTGCCGTTTTACCAAATTTCATGACGCATACTGCGATCGATACGCGTTTTCCATGAATGAATATCGCTGCACGGGCATTGTTCGCGATAGAAAACGGGCGATTCACGCGACGCAGCAACATCTGCAGCTGTCGAAAATTGTGCCACGCTGTCCTACGCACTTCGCTCGTAGACAGCCCAGTGGGCGAACAAACGCGTAATGCCAGTTAACGTATACAGGATGTCCCGAAAAAGGCGAGTGATGACATCCTGTCCTCGGTGCAATTAGCAAGTTTCTATCTTCGGAAATTGAATCGCAAACATCGGCTCGTTAATTCCGCAATATCAATTATTAGAGCATAATAATTAATAACACAATGCACATTGCACAAGTTAACATTTTGGAAATCATGTACTATATTAATCAGTTTCGATAAAAATATTATTGAAAATATGAGGAAATTATCGGATTGGATGTGCTGTTAAATTAATCGGATAATTTGTATGTTAAAATAAATAGAAACATCTCGAATTAATTTTTTACTGAAGAAATATCGATTCTAAATATCTCTCGCCACTTTCTCGACACACCCTGTATACCTACGCGTAAACCCACGAAAGAGCATACCCATGAGAAAACGCAGAAAGAGTTGGAGAAAGAGAAAGGGAGGGCGGGAGAAAGAGAGGCGGCGAGAGCGACGCGCTCATTGAGATGCGTCTCGCGTGCGTTTCTCCGGCGGCAGAGGACCGGAAGCTGGCTCGTCATACGTGTATCGTCACGCGTATCCGGTGCCCCGGAGTCGGTTTATCGGGGCTGACAATTCCAAGAAAGAAACTTAAAGCGCCAATCTTCATAGAGACATATAAAACTGATAAAAGCTTGTCCGATAATTGTTAACACGTTAATAAGAGACACACAAATGCAACCACACAGATACAAAATCACTTAAAATCTATATCTCTGTAAAGATAGAATCTTATCGTTTTCAATGATACTGATCGTCACAATGACGCATTTGTGACTAAAATAATTAGTATAACATACTGCAATCATATATATTTCTCTGTTCATATCAAATATAATTACTATAATTTTTCTTTCTCTGCGCTGTTTTAATATAATATTCAAATTAATTGTGTCTCTAGCCGTAATGAAGACTCGCGTTTTCTCATCGTATCGAATTATTCTTCCTTTTTTATTATCCTGCGTCAATTTATTTTGCCAATTTTATCAGACTTGAGTGTTAAAAATATATAAAAATTGAAATTTATGCAGGAATGAAAATTCGAATGATCTGTTGCATGTGTAATGTCACAATTTAGTACGATTGCAGTGAGGAAGCGGGAGTTTTGTGACAGGTGAACGTGATCGGGTCATTTTTCCGTACAAATGTACGCTATTAGGGGTTATCAGTCGCGAGGAGTTAGTTTACACACGGGCGGTGTAACGAGATCTAGTTAACCGGTGAATGACGGCGGCGGCGGCGGCGACCGGCGCTCGTTAAAAATATCACCGCGTCACATCGCCGATGCCGGCAGTTCACAGAGATAATTGTCGTTATGTTCTCTTTTTGCAGCCGTGTACAACTGGCGAGGAGACACGCGCTATGGACTACCCCTTGAAATCGGAGAGACCGTGCAGATCCTGGAGGAGTGCGCGGGTACGTAATCTGACACCGATCTTATCTCTCACTTTCACGAGCGATCGATATACTTCAAACCGATCGCACGTGGCATGTTGCGGTGTTGCGTTCGTTTGAAGTCGAGGGAAGTTGTAAAGTCACAGGAAGCGTGATGATATAATGTAATTGCGCGTTCTGGCTCATCGAAAAAACGAATAATAAAGAATTTTTGCACTCCGACACTGCCGCTTTGATCTTTCCTTCTGTTTAAGACGTTTTATAATTCAAAGAAATAATTTTCACGGATTAATTATCACCGTATCTTATTTTTTAAACTGCCCACCATTAATTATCAACGTACAGTGAGCGATCTAATTGAGCGAAAATTGCGCTAATTTAGAACTTGCCGAAATTATCTTTGCATTGATACAAAATTGTTATGTTAATTAACATTAATCCACAATAATTAATTGATAATGCTGCTTTTCGTATCAATTGATATTCAGTGTATTCAATGTATTATATGTATTATCGCCTAAATTAATGCAATTGCAAATTGTGGATTACACGTCTGTATCGCATCTCGTTCTTAACATACACCAGACACATTAAATTATCGCGTTGCATATCGAATGCAATTCGACGAAATGGGATTTGCGTCGGTTTCAGGCTGGTACAGGGGCTTCTCGACGAAGAATCGCGCGGTGAAGGGAATCTTCCCGAGTTCCTACGTGACTCTGAAGCCCTGCAAGATCGACAATGAGGGCCTCTTCGAGTCCGTTATACCATTGGAAGACCCGGTTGTCCGGGAAGTCACCCTGGTCCTGCGCGAGTGGGGTGGCATTTGGAAGAGGCTGTACGTGGTGAGTATATACACCTCCGCACTTCATTTCTCCCGTCTGTCTTCCTCTCCCCTTTCTCCTCTCGCCCCGCAAAAAATCTGTCTTTATACTTCATAAAGGAGTACTTCACCACCATTATTAAAAACGCGATCGATGAGGAGAAAATTGCAACTCTTTCATTCGCTCTTCATTTTCTGCTCGTTCTTCCGTTCATTTTAAACTTCTGCATTCGTATCTGGCATTTATATCTCGATACCAATAAAGTTCTTAAATAAATATTTATCTTTTATTTGAATCTACATCTAGTCGTTTGATTTATTTTCTATGAAAATTTGCAATTTTCTTAATTAATTTTCTACTTTCTACATTTTGTAATCTAAAGTCAGCCGAACAGATAAAGGGATCTTGTAACATGTTTCTTGCCGTGTTTCCCGGGACACATAAAACTTTTTTAATCACTCAAAACGTAATCCCGCGCACTTATCCTGTCGCAGGAGCGCGAGGAGTACAAATTCAACGCGTTGCGCAAGGTGATGCGAGAACTGTTGGAATGGCGACGGCAATTATTGCTTGGCACCCTCACTACCGATCAGACGCGGGAGTTGAAGCTGCGGATAATCAATAAAGTGGACTGGGGGAATCGGTAAGTCGAAATGAAGTACATGTACTTTTCATACCGAATTCGCGGCACGTGCCGCCGAAACGTGACAGGATCGAAAACTTCTCTCTTTCGTCATATGTGTTTTTGTATGAAAGAGATCGATTTATCAAGGTGAGCTCCCTTAATTGCTGATCGATCCGTGTTGCTCTAACTATAGCACATCGATCAGAATAAATGCGTGATAAAAAAACTACTCGTTTTATAAAACTTCTTGACAGCATATAATATATATAATAGAATATTCAATTCACTCACTGGTGTGAGTACTCTAAAAAATATTGTTACAATATTATTCTACATATTATCTGTTAGATAAACTATCTAACCGATCTATCTTTCTAACTATCTGTTAGAAAAACAAGATTGCTGCAATTACAAATAAAGAAGCCAGTCGAATTTATACTTGAAACATGGAGAAGTTTCAGTCAACAGCGAATAAATCTCGCGCAATATAATCTTTTCGTTCAATTAGTGAAAACGTTTGTTCAAATAACTTTAGCTGCGGCCGAAGAAGAAAACTTCAGTTCGTTCTCGCGTGACTACGCACTAATTAAGTTCGCTTACGGGCGCCGCACAAAAGCGAATGACACGACATTGGAAAGAATCTCATTTATTTACTATCGTTTTCTCTCGTTGCAATTAATCGCTATAACGGCGTTGCACACATTGGCAGTCTTCCTCTCGTGTCGGGCGCGAGTCAGAGAATACGTCTCGCTCCTCCTAAAGAATACACTTATACACTAACGTATATTTAGTTTTTTTTTGTCTTGTATCCTACAATATAGAAGGCACATTGCGAATACAATTATACCTATGATTGATCTCAAGCTCTCTCTCTCTCGCTCTCTCTTTCGTTCATCTTAAATATCTATCTTAAGATATCACTCGGAGCGCAATTGTCGATAATCTCTAACAGGGTTTTGCGGATACCGTAAAAGGAAAGGGCCGTAGCGTTACATTATTGTCGTTGTACACAGTTATTGCCGGCGACGCTCGCACTTTGTCCTTGCGCACGAAAGGACGCGGGAAATGTGTCTGAGGGGAAAGTTTCTATTGTCTCTGTTAGCAGGAAGGAGGATTATCGTGTACGTAACAATTAATCGCGCGGAATAAAGTCTATATGCAAGATAAACGCGTTTAGTATAATATTCGGGGACGACATCGCTCTTGCGTGAACGAATTGAAGTGATCCCAATTAGAGCTAATAAAGTACTTAATTATACCATTAGGAATGGCATACGAACACTTTTTTAATACCATAAACTATGAGATAATTGCCGAGGAGCCCCATTTTTACATTATTCATATAATTTGTTTTTTGCACACATTTTACTACAAATTTTAATTTCGTATTTTATTTTAACTTATCCGATTTAAAAAAAAAATTGACGTTATATTTATACAAATGTTATTTTAATCCGCTTTCTTAAATGGAGATCCTCATTTTCGGAAAAGAAAGTGCTGGAATGTTGATTACGAATTGCGACCGTGGTCAGTTCGTATGGTTCCACCTCTCTTTTTCGATCGAATTTCAATTACACCACACGTTTTCATTCCCGCTACAATCATTGCACCAGTGCGGAAATATTTCTACCCAAAAAAAAAGAAAAAAAAGAACGAGATAAACGATATACATTATTTCTGTCTGCCAGACCGCTGACATTATTCTGTCTTTATTGGGCTATTAGCCAACGTTCTGGCTTCGTTTGATGTAAAGTAATGCGTGATGCTTTTACGTCTTCGCTGTTGATAATCGCGCAATGATAGAATTCGCTCGAATAGTCACTTTGAAATAATATTTCTGCGTGAAAACCTCTTTAGATATTCTTGTGAATATTCACAAACATATTATATCAATGTATAATATACTTATGTAATATTTATATTAATTATTTAAAGAGGATAGAAACAAGAATTCGTTGTTGTTTTTTTTTTTTAAATTTCAGTGCGATCTCTTAACGGGAGCGCAGTAACAGCATGTTGATACATATTTCTCGTTGTGCGATGAATAATAGAATAATATACGAAAGTTTGCTTCGTGTCAAATATTGTCACGCTTCTTTTACTAACATGAACGATCTGCGGAGCGTTTGTTACGTATCACAAAAGCAAGTATCGAAAATAAATCTTAAAGATCATTCGAGATAGCCTCGATAACTCTGCGATAACTGTGCGTTTCGAATGGAAAAGCACAAATTCTGCTTAACCTTAGAATACATTCCCGGCAGTGAGATCCTTTCGTGCTTGCATCAGCACGGCAGCTTGACAATTTTACAACACGTGGGAAAACGTGTGTTATTCTTTTACGGAACTATCGAACACTTCCGATACTTGCTCTTTCATCTCCCTCAAGTTTACAATAATGAATTAAAGGAATGTTGCGTTCGTGATATGAACAGAAGTCAAGGAACACCGTTATTCAAATTTACGCATCTTGCCTCATCTCGTTATTTTCAAAATCTTCATTGAATTATTGATCGTGTGAGCAACAAATAATTATACAACGACGGGAATGTGATCCTGTTGCATCTGGAAGCCTGTCGCGATCGTTGAAGATCATAATGCGCACATGACTTATTGATTCGAGAGCATCGCGCGTTATCGTCTACATTATTATATTCAATAATCTAATATTGGTTCGTGCCGCTGTAGCCGGCGTAAGATACCAGCGCGCTTTTCGCACTTTCGATCGGTGAACGAGTGGAAACGACGGAATGTTTATTGTAATTCTACAATCTGCATGTGCCACTTGCGAAATGATTTTAAAAAGGAAAAAGAAAACAAAAAAAAAAACTAGAAATCTCGTTAAAGATTCGCGAGAGGTAGCGTCAACTCGCGCTATTTTACGCGTTCCAACTCTGCTTTTACGGCAAATGAAAATCTCGTAACGACTGTTGGATGAAGAAGACAACGAAGGCCGGCGCTGGTTTTTCGCATTTAAACTCGGTAGTTTACGACCGCGTAACAGCAATAACAGCGTCAAATGAAAATCTCGTAATGACGCCGTTGTAAAAATGTCGGCGAACTAAACGTTGCCCCGTTGACTCGCGCTTGCGTTGCACATTTTACGCACGAGAAAAGATACGTAACGCCGGGATATGGAACTCAGTCGGAGATAATTTGCACAATATCTCGTTGAGCGAAGATACGAGCTGAATCGAAAACCGGTAGGGTGTCCGTGCGCTTTCAGAGCGCGTTTCGCGAACACTCGAAATGATTCTCCCACCGATCGGAAGGCCTGTCGGAGACATAAACGTCAAAGAAGGGGGAGGGGGGGGGGAAGTCGACTCGCGTTTTACGAGCACGCGGGTAACGAGCGAGACTCTCAACTCGACGGGAGACAAGAACCGCGAAGCTCTTCTGTTAATGCCGGTTCGAGCTTTTACGTTTTACGAGCGCCGCGTCGGAGAACACGAGGTTTCCGACGGCGTCGGCAGCGGAGAAATGTCGAAGAGAGTGAGCGTCCGGTGCGCGTTTTTTGCGAGCACGCACGCGTGGTAAGGCAGAGCCGGCGACGCGGCACGAACAGCTCCGTTTATTGGCACCGAGACGACGGCGAAATCGCGCCGCTCGGTATTATCACAATACAAACAAATACAAGCGATAAGGGGTGGATGATGGAAAAAAAGTAAAATCGACGACGAGGCCGTCGGCGGGCCTCCTCGCGCTTTAGATCTCGGTGTCCTTAGCGTATTTCTCAATCTCCGGATACATCGGCGACATCTCGAGAGTGCTGGGTGCCGATGGCACCGACGTCGGCGACGCGCCGCTGCTGTTACTGCCGAATTGCAGACGGCTGCAGAGTTCTTCCAGCAAATTGTGGAACATCATGTAATTCAAGTTCTGACCCAACAGGTGAAGCATCAGGAAATCTCCGACCTGCAAATTCAATTTTTTCTTCTGAATTCCGGGAAACACCGCGTTGAGAATACAAAAATGAATAACTTGAACGGAGAAAGTACACTTTTGTCTCTCCAATCATGTCCAAAAACTTTATTTAAAGAATGGCGTAAGGGCGATGGTTATTAAGTTTCCACATTTTCATTCAATTTGGGATTTCTGATAAATTTTTAAGCGAATTGCCGATATAATAATGTCCCGCTGCTTCTGAAATAATCTCTATCGACATTGAACAATACTTAGAGCCATTATGGCCAGGCGAGATGAAAATTACAAACGTCGGAAGGAAGAAGAAACTCACCTGAGTTTTACGGATAAGCGCGCTGACAACAGGCGGTGTGCCGAACTTGAAGCGCCTCCTCAGGATTGTCTCGCGCGTGCTGGGCAATAGTATTATCGCCATGCTGTAGAGCATTCCCAAGCCGGACACCACAGCCAATACAATGAACCAGAACCATAGGAAAATGTATATCTTCTCATTGAGGATGTTGAGCGCGAGCACGCAGAGCGCGTCGATTGTCTGAATCGTTCCGGAGCCACCGTACTTGTGGAAGGTGCACTTGGTCACGCGCGGGAACACCTCGATCATCGGGTCGCTGCGCTCGTCCTGATTCATGCCGCTGAACTTTAGCACTTCCGTGCCGTACGTGAGGAAAGCGCCGCCCAGGAAGGTATCGACGAAGAATATGTTCCCAACCTAAAATGAAGCCGTCGTATGTATTGTACACGAAGAGTACTATTTTTCGCTAGTAATTTAATACAAGGATGCAATATTTTCTGCGTGTAAAAGAGAGAAATATCGGAGTGATTTTATTATTGTCTTTTAATAACACAGGAATATTTCGCAGCAGCAAAACTAAAATTAAACGTCTACATTTGACAAGAAACTTAACTTGCAGTCTACAGGAGAAAAGCAATGCGATTTGATTCGAATGAAACGGAATATATGAAATATTTCTAGAATATTCCAAGAATTTTACAGATATTTCTAGAATATTAAAAAAATTTCAGATAACATTATAATTCAGGATACAGATCTGTTACCTGTTGTCGCGTCCTAAGTCATTACTGCAAACGTTCGAAATACATTAATATCGCTTCAGCGAAGCGCTTAGGCGCTTCTTTCAAGTGCACGTTTGCGAAGGTTAACACTTACGGTGTTGATGAAGTTGAGGACCTCACAAAAGAAGTATGCGGCGGCGTAGCTGTTGTGCAAGTGCATGGTCTCCATGAGATATTGCACCAGTTTCTCGATTTTGGCCTGCCGTTCTTGCTTGCTTTCGATCAAGGGGCCCCTCAAGCCCTCGGTTATTAACCTGATCTTATTGTCCTCCCACTGTTTCCACATCCAGTGCGGTATGTAGAACAGTATACCCTGGAAAAAGAGCATGAACGGCACCCACTGATAATACGAGTGTACCCGCTTCTCGCCGTAGTCGATGCCCAGACCCGGATGGGCCACATGGGTGCCGATCGGTTGCGTCAGGGTCCGAGGAATCGTGTAGGTAGACGTGATCCAGCAGTACGTATTGATGACATGAGTGCCGTCCCGCAAATCTGCCAAGCAGTGGATCGGTTCGCCTGTAAAGATAGACGAACGATTAATCCATGATCGATCGCGTCGCAATCGAAAATTCTCGATGATTTTTATTAATTAAATTAATTGGATATCTCTGCGAAACACAAATTACGTGAAAATCAGATTCGAGAGAAACGATAGTTGGAACCGGGCACTTTTCGAACTTTGAAGTATCCAAAGTTAGATGAAATTGATTTGATTTGATTGAGCCAACGTCAGCTTAATTAATTCAAGGAATTAATATTTTGCATATCTATTGATTTAAATTAATTGAATGTCTCCGCGAAACACAAACTATGTTAAAAGTGAAATTTTAGAGAAACCTTCTAGCCGAAACCTTTCGAACTTCGAAGTATCTAAAGTTAAATTAAATTAATCTGATTGAACAAAATGACAGATTAATTATATTCATGATACAAGAAGCGATTGAGATTTGACTCGTGATTTATCTGTATATATTCGATAAGAGAGAGACAAGTTGTATAACTCTGAACTTCCTCGTGCGCATTTATCACTTTTCTTGCGCGAACATCGTTAGCGAAGTAATCCCGTGGGATTACCACTGTAACGCGTGTTAATCCTGCAAGATAGACGAACGTTGGAGACAGACGTTATCGCGCTCGCGGCGGAGATAATTTTTTTTACGTGACACTGTCGCGCGGTAAACGAACTACGCGAGTGGGATGCTGCGTTGTCGTTCTCGACGGAGCCACTCGAACCCGGGATGGTATCGAGTATCATTCTTACCCAGCATCTTGACGAAGAACTGATGTCCCTCGTCCGCCGGCGACGCGAGAGTTAAATTCGCGACGCGTTCTGCCTTATATTTGCACAAGTCTAACAAAAGCAGCACGTTTGTACTTAATTAGCAGCGCCTCCCGCACTTATGTCTGTCTTTTCCTTACAACTAAATAACGAAATTAATAAAAAAATTTACGAGAAACGTCGAACGATATATTCATGTTAACGTTTCCGAATTCATAAACATGAAAAGATATTTAGAAAAGCAAAGAATTATTATTTTTGATACGTTAAGTAAAAAAAATGCAATGCAATTTTAATTGTAAAAACATATATGTGTAAAATATCTCAAAAATTAATTTTTCTTTTATTAAAATATATTTTCTGTATTATTCTTTCAAAATAGACGAACGTTACTGTTTCACACAAAAGAACTTGAACGAGCATATGCTGCTGCTTTTCGGAGACAGAAAAGAAAAATGTGGCTAGAATGAATAGATCATGTGTCTACGTTATCTGAGATTTTTTTAGAGTGCAAATGACGGACTGCATATGGGTGCATAATCGCGACTCATGTGCGTACCAGATGTTTCGTATCCTGCTGGTTATGGGCAGTTAAATTATGCAACGATTCAACGACGATATATACATTGAAATAATAAACTATTGCATTTACATAATTATTCTGGATTCTTGAGATCTTAAATCTGTGAAAAATTAAAAAGTTTCGAAACTTGTCGATTTACGGAAAATTAATTTAATTTCACGAATGAAAAACATGACAAACGTTTTCTTATTGCTACCGTGCGCTCTACAGACAATTCCCATACAATTTTATAAGATAACATCACAACATGATTTCCTTATTGACATTATCGAAGGTCCGCTCGCAATATGGCTTAAGGCAATTTTGATCCGATGCATATGTTCCTTCGTTATTGCGCACCATCGTCACGACATAATTGCTACTTCGCTGCTTCGCCCTATGTGATCAAGGATCTGTTTGTCATTAATCATATCGCGCGAGAAGCGACCTCGATTCGCCGACAATCGTAACGAGAAACTAGCTTATACATACCGAGCGTTAGGATCGTAAGGTGTGTTAAGGCGGCTTCTAATCAGCCGCACGTCGCGACATTAAATCGTCAACGCGTTTGTTACGACATCGTATTGCGGCGATAAAAGAACACGCCGTAGAATTTGTTGTTTGAAGAACCCGTCTACATCGTAAGCATGCATCCTCGATAAGAAATACGATACGCCAGTCGTCTCGCCTCCGTTCTAGTCTTCTAATCACGACCGCGTCTTGCACCGGTGCTTGCGATGCAAGTGGCGCAGTTGATCTTTAACCCGGCAATGGCTCGCGCGTCCATAGCAGATTAAATAATTGTCATCATCCTCGAGACTATTTTTAAACGCGTTCTTTGCACTCTAAAATGCTGCCAGGCTGGTTCGCTCGTTTTTTTCTTCCAAGCGCGTGTTTTTCGCTTCTACAAATTTAAAAAGTCTTTATATATCTTCGACGATTGATTAATTACTTTTATTTTTATCACAACTATTTTACAGCTAATACACTGCTGTATCCTCGAGAATAAAGTAATTCTTCCAGAGTACCGATAATAATTTTTTCTCTGCGCTTTGAAGAGCTAAGCTGATGGCAAAACTCCAAGGTTATGGCAAAGTATTTTTTCCATTGTAGTCTTACAAGACTTTCACTCCGGAGGTGAATCTCTGGAATTCTTGCGCAGGCAGAAATTGAATGATCTTACCTATTAAATTATTGGCGCTGACAATAATGCAGCAAAGGAACAGAATGGCCGACGTGTGTCTGTAGTGCAGCCTGAAGAACGCATTGTCGATGACGGCCTTGTCGATCAGGTATCGCACCTTGACGAAACCGGCGATCGCTGAGACCAAGCCGAACACTACCATTTTCGTTTAATCTGTAAAAAAAAAAGGAGTCTTAAGTGAAAAACTTGCTTTCGCAAAGACCATTGATTCTCGAAATTTTCACCAAAGAAAAAATTGCGCGGGAAAATATATTTATGATAATCATCGTTCTGAAGAAAGACACTAGTCTATTTTGCAGCGCATATTTATCAAGCGGACGATATGAAAATTGAATGATTCGTCGAAGGAATCACACGTGATAAGGACTGTCTTCGTTCGACGAGGCATCAGATTAGCCGAGGCGCTTGTTGCTTGCTTGTAGCTAATGAGCGCCTTGCGGCCGGCCGATCGCGATTAGAAACGCATTTCCATTGATTTCAAACACCGGCGAGGGCAGGCGTTAGCATTCTTATCATACACATGTCGGTAATTTATAATGACTCAGTCGTGTGAGCACGATGCCGCTTAGAAGAGAGAGAAACGATGAGATTGCGCGCCGAGTTCTCTGCCAATAATACGTGCCGTATCTAGATTAGCCTGTGATTAATTCAGCTACGGACTCCAGTAGTAAACAGGACTCTTGGCGGACTACATCCGCCGTAGATCATCAATCTTATCTCTGATCCTCACGGCGACGGTCCTTGATCGCGTCGCTTGAGAAATTAATTGGATTTCGCGAAAAAACGATCGATTTTGGATCTGCGAATGTAATTCCAAAATTATGATCATTAACGAGCGAGACGAGCGCAACCGAGTCTTTGAAAAGTTGACATTTCGCCAGACTGAATAATTAAAATTTTTTTATGAATAAAATATTGCAGAGTCAAAAAATTCAGAGTTTTTAGGATAAAAAAATTCAGAGAGAGAGAGAGAGAGAGAGAGAGAGAGAGAGAGAGAGAGAGAGAGAGAGA